GGCGTCGCCCCAGTAGCCGTGCGTGGCGGGGTGGGGGGGGGACGTCCCCATGCCCTGGCGCGCGAGTGTCCTGCGGCTGTCCCCCAGGAGCGGTTTCCCACGCGTGCCCACGGCAAGGGGTGTTCTGCCCCCGCCCGTGCGTGCGTGCCCCCCCGGGGGACAGCTCTGTCCTTGGGGGTCTGTGCGCGTGGCCCTGAGGGGAGGGGGCCCCCGTGTCCCTGCGTGGCGGAGGGAACGCACCGTCCCCATGCGTGCCTGTGTCTGCAGGGGCCTCGCCAGCTGTCTTTGGGCCGCGTCTAGGTCACGTTTAGAAGCGTCCCGGTCATCGACCGCTGCTCCGTTGCCATCTGCTGACTGAGCCCGAGCCCCCTCCTGCTTGGGCGCGATGGCTGCTGGCGGCTGAGTCTTGGTGCTTTGTCCCGGAGGTACCAAAGAAAGGAGTTGCAAGGTGCCCCTGGGGAGGGCCTAAGGTTAAGACTTATTAGAAACAAGCTCTTATTTCTCTGCTTTGAAGGGCCTTAGGGTCTGGTGTCAATGTAGAGCTGAAGTCAGGCAGTGTTTCATTTAAGCCTAATACCTGTTTTACATGCAGGATTGGAGCAAGTTTATATGCGACTTCATCGCTAGAAGAGCAGAGCACTGCAACTGATAACGAGCAGATCGGTAGTAATTCCAGAGATTGCTTAAACAGCCTTTTGTGGGCTTCTCGTTATAACTGGCAATATTCTTCATTACAAATACTTTGTTCCGGGAACGCTGTCAGGACTATCTGTCTATCTATCTGTGGCTAATGTCACGTCATGCGACATAATTAATAGCAGTCTTTCTACGTGTTGTTCTTCCGTAACAACGTATTTGCCAAAACGGATGCGAATCTATCACGGGCAGCCCAAAAAAGAACTGCAAAAGGCAGTAAGTAGGCAGAAGGCCGTGCAAGCTTAAGAGCTAGCCTTACCTGCTCTTCCGTATGTATATGTATATTATGTATATATCATACCATATGCTGACAGGTTCCCAGAGGTGGTAGTAAATAGCTCAGTTTGTTGGAAGTTTCCCATCTTGCGGCTCGCAGTTCAGTGCTCAGTGCGATCAGCTCGCAGGTACAGCCGTCTTCGTGAGCTTCAGCTCTTCTGTTCTGCTGGCGCTTGCCCAGTCCAGGACTACAAGAAGCCTTTCCTCGTGAACCATCTATGGACGATGTTCCCCCTTCAAGTGATGTGCTGCTTCGGGGGGAATGGAAAGGCAGGAAGGGGAAGTGCAGGACAAGGAAGCAGCCAAGGAAGTGACAGAGGAAAGAGAAAGTGGGACGAAACAGGTCCCAGCCAGATTGTTTGAAAGGGGGCTTTTCCATTCCCTGCTTGCTTCTGAAGCTCTCTGCTAAATCCTGAGAACAATTTTCTGAAGTGTTTGGTGTTCCTTTGTACAGACAGTCTTTCATTTGTCCAAAGAGCAAAGAATGTGAAATAGTGAAAATTGAATATATATTCAGGGCTTTTAGTTCTAGAATGAACATTAATAAAATGGCAGAAATGTACATCTGGCCTGCTGTTATTCCTACAGAATTTGGAAGAGGTTTTTTCTGGCTTCAATCTTGGCAAGTTATCACAGCTCCTTCTGAATGAAATCAAAACCTAAAGCAGTTGTACTGTGACTGCATAAATGTGCTTTTAATTTTAGACGTAGAAATTGTTTTCCAAGAGTATACTGGACCCTAAAATAAAATATTGTCAAGAAAAACACACAGAAAGTTATAATTAAAAAAAAAAAAACCTCACTCAAATAATAAGCAACTGTTACTCTAACAGCAGTACGTTTCCCAAAAGAGCTTATATTGAAACGCGGTGAGGTTTGTTCTGTCTTGCCCTTGATGATTTTTTTTTCCTGCTCTGTATCTGTTGTGTTAAAACTGAAAGGTAAAGTGGAATTCAAGGTTTAAAATTTTCTTGGAAAATTTTCCTTCCCCCACCCCACCTTTAGGAGGTGCCTGACTGAGGGTGTGGGAGGAAAGCATTATCACTTGATCTGCAGCTGGGATGTTTGTTTGATCTGATTCTCGTTCCTGCCATGCCTGTCACTATGGAGTAATACAGGGATTAAAGTGAAGACGTTCAGTAGGATTGTTCAGTGCTCACCTGGCTAATGTAGTGGAGTTGGATGGGCAGCCTGCTCTAGGTGACCCTGCTTGAGCAGGGGGTTGGACTGGATGATCTCTGAAGGTCCCTTCCAGCCTCCACCATTCTGTGATTCTGTGGGTGGCTTGCTAATTGTGGTATTTTAACCCAATGAAGTGCATCGGATTCTGCTGAGGTGCGTACGTCAGTGGAGAAACTGTTGGCAGACAATGCTCTGTTTTGTGGAAAATGAGAGCTGGTGCTTCGTTCCAGGAGTACCCGACTTTAGTGCACAGAAAGTCTAAGGAAATTAATGTTGACCTGAGTAATTGCAGTCTGGGCCTTGTTCAGGCCCATAAATATTTTAAAGCCGCTTTGGAGTGGAAACCAGTTCACGCTTTGTTTATAAAATGGTATCGCAAGTACATGACCCCCTGCTCCCATCAAAGAGAAGTCTGTTGAGACGGACTGACACACAGTTTCCATCCCCAGCCCGTGGCATCCTGCCAGGTGTCCTGGGCTTGGGGAATGGAGCGCAAAGGTCATTCCCCAGTGCCAGCACCTGTGACAAAGTGGAAAGAGGGTCAAAGTGCAAAGGAGCTCTAGCCCCGAGCCCGTGGCCCGGGGCTGTGGGGAGGGAAGCGTGTCTGTTTGCGAGGTGCAGGCCAAGGTTTTAAGGTTGTTTTCGTTCTCCTGGGTTTTCTGCCTTCTTGCTGCTGGGACAGGGATTGTTTCAGCTCCGAGCGTTTTACCAGTGCTGCGTAGTAAATGGCTGTGTTCCAATTGGTAGGTGTACAGTACGTTGCTTAAGAAGTAACACTTTTAGACTTTGAGAATTCAAACAGCTTTGGCAGAGATTCAGCCTAGATCTGCGTTGGGTGATCCTCTCAGTCAAGATCAAGGTCGTTTGAACAGAACTGAGACTCGCTTGCGTAGTGAGAGATCATCAGGCAGAATACAAATTCTTGGCAGGAAAGGGGAATCTGGGATATTTGTGCAAGTAAAGTAGCATTTCACTGTTATACAGATTTTGGTCATCCCTCGTGCTGTTTTTTCAGAGCAAGTTTCAAAACAAGACAAGTTTGTCTAGGTACTTGCGTATGTAATTTGTAGAGATGGATCAACCATTGCCTTGATAGATTGTGGAGGAGAGAATAAACATTGTGTGCTGTTTCTTTGTGGCTTAACAGCTATGTTTCCTGTGATCTGTGCAATAACACTTGGAATGCCAACATTTACAGGCATAGTAGTGCATTTTTGCAGAGATATTCTAGGACATTTCTATTTAGTCTGGGGAGAACTTTATACGCAGGCTTGAAAGTGTCCAAAGGGTGGTAAGGTCTCTCTAATTTAGCATGTGAAGAAGTGTTGAACCGTGCACGCCTAATGTCAAAACCCCTCCGTAGGTCCCCTGCTTAATCTGTTGTCAGCTCTTTAGTAAAA